GCGCTCTTCCTGAGGGCAGAACCGCGCCTTTCCTCACAGCGAGCCGCCATTTCACGCCGCCTGGTGCAAGACGGGGACGCGCGCCTGGCAAACGCTGTTTTCCCCCGGCCTGCCCCAAACTTTATTTGGTTTCTGACTTTCATCGTTACAAACAGGCTGTGGAGGCACGTCGTACATCCCAGAAGCACTCTGGCCTCCCGACTAACTGCTTTTTGACACAGTCTTGTCTGGTAGCGTTGGTCTGGCGCCCTTGTTTTCCTGCCCAACCGCAGCTCTACCAAAATCTTAAGTGGTTGGGTTTGGTTTTTAACATTTAGTAAGAGCAGAGGGTGCTCATGCTCCAGTCTCGCAGGGTTGGAGGAGGGCGTCTGCACCGCAGCGTGAAGGCTACCTCAGTGCTGCCATCCAGCGCAGCCGGGCCTTCAGAGAGCGTTCACCTTAAATCAGCTCTTGCCCAGACAGACAGACAGACCCCCTGTGCTGTCCTGTGCGGGACTGACAGCCGTCAGTCTGCCTCCAACCTCTGCAGAGGCTCGGGTGACATTGGCACCCAGCCGAGCAGGCCCACCCAGTGTGGTGGTTCACGCACTAGGCAGAGGAGCCGTTCCAGCGGGAGCCTTTGGGCTCGACCAAATCCCATTCAGCACATCTGTTCTATGCCCTGGTGAGCGCAGGGGGACAGGAGCTGATCTGGGTGCCCAACCTGTCCTGTGGTGTGGGGTTGGGGGCTGACCCCTGGTTCTCTCCCTGTGGGTCAGGCCTAGGATACAGCCCAGCACTGAGCTCCACAACTCGCATCGTGACTCTGTGCTGCTTGTCCCCCGTCACAGGGCACCCTGGCTCCTGCACACGGGGCTGATCACGGACATCACTGGACTGATCATGATTCTGCTCGGGCAGCTGCTGCAGCACCCAGGAAGAAGGCATAAAAAACGTACTCTTCTCGAACACTAGACCCCCGCTACCCGCCTGAATTCTGGCCCAGGGATATGATTTTCCTGCCTCTTGCTGCAGAAGCAAGTCAACAACACAAGAGTAAGCTGTGATGGGGTTTCTTCTTTTGTCACATCGTTGTGTCTCCGAGATCACTTTCTCCCTCTCCACACTCTGCAGCACTCGGTGATTTCTGCCAAGTGAGCATTGCAGAAATTCCAAGCAGGCTGCCCAGCAGTTATGTGCATCCTTGCCTGCTGGTTTTACATCTGGCCAGGCATGTGCAGCAGCTTGGAATAACATCTGTATGCTTAGGGGCTCCCCTCACTCAGCCAGCTAACGCGTTCTCTGCTGAGCCTCTGACCTGTGGGCCAAGACCCTGTGTTAGGGAGCAGATCAACATTCTGCTGCAGCTTAATCCTCTGCACCACAAGAACACTGCAAGACACAATGGCTTGTGTGGAGGACCGTGTTAAAGTTGTAGCAGATGCCATATGTCAGAATGCCTCTGCAACTTGAGATGTCTGCAGCTGGAGCCAAGACTTGCTGTACTGAAGGAAATTAAATTGGTCATCTTTCTCCTTCTCCCCTTCTAAACTTGAGCCCTTATGTCACGATGCTCGTCATTTCCATATGCAGCTCTTGGGAAGAGACCTATGCAGCACCTGAGGAAATATGCCTGGTTTGAAGACACATGGTACGTGTTTCAGCAGCAGGGAGCCAGAGGGAATCACAGGCCAAACAGAGATCCCATGAGATCTGCAAAGGAGAGAGAAAAGAATGTGCAGTGGTTATTTGGACCATAATGGCTGCTCAGGCACTGGTGCTGCAGCCCTTATCCATATGAAGGCAGTAGGTATCATATCACTGAGCAAGGCAGTACTGAGATGAAGAGTGTTTTAACGTGGCCTGGGTGCTGTGTCTCGCCAGGTTAGGTTCATTAAAGAAGGGTTCTTGGCCGGTCTGGCACGCAAGCCCTGCTTGCGGGAGTACCTCTGCAGGGATCTCTACATGTCTGGGGTCATCTGGCCCTGGTGTCCTGCAGTGCTGGTGACTGCAGACTGGCCTGCCCTGTGTCCCCCTGCTACAGGAATCCAGTAAAGTCTGGCTTGCTCTGCATTTTGCAGGGCTCCTGCCCTCTGAAACGTACTTGGTTTGCTCATGCTTTGGCGCACCATGTCAAGAGCCTCTTTCGGCAGGGCCTCTACTTCCTCCCGAAACTTTCTGTGTCCTTCTGGAGTCAGTTCTCACAGGCAGGACTTGTGCACACCAAGCCAGCAGTTTTCTCAAAGCAGCTGCTGATGCACAGGTTGTGTCGGATCCTGGTTTTCCAGCCCTTTGAGGCCACTTGAAAAAATGGGAAGTGCTGCCTACAGAGAGAAAAGATTTGTCCTGAGCTGAAGCATTTGGAGGCTGTGGTAGATAACAGAATGCAGTATATCCAGGTGAGGGAAGGAGGAGAAGGTCCTCCTTGGAGGAGGATGGCCAGCACAGTTGAGTACTGCGTTTTTCTAAGGGGAGTAACACAGAACTAAAATGCCAGCTCTCGAGACTCGGGGGTTCGAGTGTTGAGAAGGAGGGGAAGCCATTTTCTCAGCAGCGTATTAAGGGGAAGGCAGAGCTAAGACCTGAATGCAAGTCCTGGCTGCCACATCCCTGCTCCCCAGTGGAAGGTCAGAAACTCCTGTAGCCCTTGTTGTCCCTCTTCCCCGTTATGCACTGGGAGCTGGGAGAAGAGTGGGTACCGTGTGAACTGGTAGATCTGCTGCGTGGTCAGGCTGCCGCTCACTCTGTTGCGCAGGGCGAGGGTGATGAGGATGCAGTAGTTAAGTGGGGGACGGAGCCAGCCTCCCTTGATTCTGATGCTCATCTGCCTGGGGTGCTTGAGCTTCACCCTCTGAGGTCCAAGGAGTACAGATTTCCAAGGCTTCGGTATCGCCTTGAGTTCATGAGTTTCCAGCATCTCCTGAGGAACTGGGATGTCCACACGTGAAGCATCTTCATTCTTTGTAAGCTGGGGAGAGGAAGGAGAAAAGGGACATGGATGTATTAGCCCTGGCTGGAACGAGGGACAGGGATGAGTTCCGTTGTTTGGGGGAAGGGTGCGTCTGGCACAGTGTGTATAGAAAGATGATGTACTTGGAATTTCAGCCTCCGTGCCCACAGTTTGTACTCTCAGCCTGTTCATCAGACAGGCGCTGTGCACTGACTGACCCCTCCCAACATGAGAGGCAGCTGTTTGTGGAGCTGCTGAGCCAGCTTGTGTGTTCCTGTGGGACAGCTGAGCACATATGATGCCTGGGGCTGCCTGAGCAGTTCCATTTTTTTGTACCTTTCCAGCCTTGCTGGAGGGAGACAGCAGATCCTCCTTGCAGCAGTGCGGGTCGGGGTAGTCCCAGGATGTGTTCAAGGATGAGGTTTCTGTGGCACCAGCCACCAAGGCCACACGGCTGTCGAATCTGGCCAGGGCTGTGCCAGGGCTCCCGGGGACGGGGCAGGCCAGGCTGGGGTCTACCCACATCCAGAGATGGGACGGAGTGCCGGGTCCTAAGGAGAAGGAGAAACATCACCCTGCCAGTCCTTCCTGAGGACCGTTCTTAGACCCTGCTGCCCAGAAGCAGCCTGGGGCAACTCTAATGCAATGCAGATCCCACGGCAAATGTCCCCAGTTCCCTTCTCATCCCTCTAAATAGTGTTTTATTTCCTGTTTTGTGTACAGCACGCATGCTGCGTGTTTTTGCACCACTGTGGCCAGCCTGAACAATGGTGCTCAGCTCTGAAAATTTGCTTTCTCTTTCCCCTGTAAAGCCAGAAGAGTGAAAATTACTCCCTTTGGTCCTCCTTTCCAAAGTTTATCTACCTAAAAGGCTGCATTTGGAGAGAAGTGTGTCTGCAGGCACAGCCATGTAATTAGATCCTTGTCCTTGAGAGACAGGTGTCAGCTTTTCCTAAATAAGCTGAGAAAAATTCCAGTCTGGACCCAGGTGTTCTGGCTCATGGAAGACAAGCCCCTTCCCCAGGGTGTTCCCTGAAACACCACTTGCCTCTGCAGGTGGTACTGGTCCCAAACTGACCCCTGGCAGCGCCTGTGTGCAGGGGGTCAGTGTGCCACTGCCGCATGCGATGGTGCGGGGTCTCGTCAGTGCCTGGCGGACATGCAGGGACAGAGACACCCTGGTCAGCTTACGTCTTTGGGGTTTCCGTGGGCTGCATGCTTGCTTACACATAATTGCAGACACTTCTAATTTGATCTGATCACTTTTAAACGTGAAAGAAAATGGGCTTTAGGTTAACTTCTAGACTGGAGCTTACTATTTACCAGATTTTACAATTTCCACCTGAGTTTAGGAGTCAGGGATCTTTTTAAAAGGAAGCCAAGTCAGTTAATCCCCCAGAGGCCCTTACCTGGCAGACAGTCTTCAGTAATCAGGGTGAGTTTGAGTTCCTCTGCCATATTCCAATCCTTGAGGCCATTTTTTAAGTGCAGGCTTTCCCAAAATGACTTGTTTTGAAAGCTCAAGTACATTTTCTTTGTATGGCAGAGCGATGTCCAGGTGCTGAGCGCAGCAGTATCTGTGAGGGTGGCACAAAGAATCCCATGAATTTGAAGTGCTCTGTGTGCTGAGAGACTTGATTTCATATTTTCTTTAAAAAAATTATCACAGAGGTGAGTGAAAGGCCAGTCTCTGTTTCACACTTCTAAATAACTATTAAAGGCCCTTCTAGTGAGTAAATGGTCCATACTGGTGGAGTAAAACAGCTGATTGAGAATAAGAGAGGTGGTACCACATAGGATCCATTTTCTGCCTACTTACTTTGCTAGAGCCTTGATAAATGAGCCATTACTCTGTTCATTAGGCTAACATATTTTTTTTTCTGTTTTTGATAAAATCACAGCGTTACCTACACTCTGCAGTGGGCTTCCCTGGTCCAAGAAGCTGAATGTCTCTGACAGGAGGATGGGTCTATGAG